AATGACAATGATACAATCAAACTCCCGAAGAAGCTAAAATAATGAATGATGCAATCAATAAGAAGGGGTGTAACATTACCAGGGCAAAGAAACAATTATTACTGCCTCTTTTTGGATACATAAATCTGGTTTTAGACGTTTGATCGCTATCGGGTCAGGAAATTTAAAAAGATTGGAGATTGATTGTTTGGTTAGCACTTTGAAAGACTTCACTGTATCAGCTTGATGTCCTGCATCAAGGGGGTGTCTTAAGATGGCATAGCTGAATGCTTTTGATCTATTTGACCTTAAACTTTTCGGAATATGCTCTTTAAATCGTACGCAGGCTCTCCTTTCTGCTCTATCAATGAAACTGCTTTGACAGATACATGAAAATTTGTATACACAGTTAATGATAACATGAAGGGGGTACCTATCGACCCTCGATTGTGCAAAACAATATGTTATTTTGGTCAGAACAATTAGTTTAGCTGCGGGATAAGTTTTTGTCAATGCAGTTTTTATATCTCACATTGATCAACCAAGTGACATCACCTTTGAATTTAATTTAAATAAAAATAGGTTTTTTATTTACTGTTGTATGTTGTTGACTACAGTTTTGAACAGCAAATTTTCGTACTTCTGTAATTTTGCTGATTTCGTGTTTTGAACTTCATTTGAATATGTAGCATGGAATAAAGTACGTTATGATTATCGGTTATCTTACTGAACATCATAATACAAAATGCATTTAGTGATTACGCGTTAACTGATTAGATTCCTAGTTCTATTTGATTTTTGTTCCCTAAATGTTACTCTTCATAACCTCCAGTTATTGGTTTCTATTAATTGATCAACAGAATGGTTATTATGCTATTCCATGATTTTTCTAAAAATAAATGAGAGATTTATAATTTCACTTTTAGTAATTTGAGTAGAAAGCAGTTGGGAAACAGACCATAGTTTGTAGTTGATAAATTGTATTCTATCCCAAATTATAAAACATTTACCATTTTCCCCTCTCGTTCATGTCATTTAATCAATTCGCCTTTTATTCAAAAAAGTAATAATAAGCGAACACACATATACAAATGAAATTTTTATGCAGATCATTGGAAAGTATAATACAAATTTATTTCGTTACTTACTTTAAGCTTAATACAACGTATTGTTTCATACAATCCATACATAACTAATGGGTATCCTCTTTTATTTTCACCCATTTATGTATAAACTTTTTTTGTGGTTAAATTAACATTATTCTCATATTCTAAAACTGTTTCACTCATTACTATTAAATTAAAAAATAAGAGGTTATTATCTTATAAACTGGCTCGTCTAACATGAAACAATAATCTTATCATAGAATAATGCTTCTAGGTATATGTCGCCTATAATATTAGTTGTCTGAATTAATACTGAATGGTTATGAAGTGATTTATAATTTTAAAAAAAGACTATTAACATAAAGCACTCAAATGAAATAGTGTTCTAGAGGTTATGAGTTTACGTGAGAGTCAGAGGTTTCACAGGTAGATCCCCTAATCCAAAGTCATAGATGCGCGCTGCTGAGGAGTCCCATACTAGGACGAACAAGCCGTCAGTGCTTCCAGTTTTACAATGGCGGTCAGGCATTGATTCTTTCATGGTTTCGATAAAATTCAATGATGTACACAGCCCTAAACTGAGAACCATATACTTACTTTGGTGCCTTCAAGCTCAACTCTTCTCAAACTGCTACAAACAGCTAGAGAATCTATATAATAGGCAGATATTTAATCTCAATTTTGTAATAACCTGAAGCGCCTAAACATGGCACAAATCTTCGTTAAGTAATAGATAGCAGCCATCTGAAGATACCGAATATAGGTGCTATGTCTGTTGATAGTCGATAACGAAACCTGTTATGGTTCAGCCGTTAAGGAGTCGATGATCTCCGTTCAATGTAGACTAAACACATAGAATATTACAGTTCATGGTGAAAACGTGTTCCTAATTTAGCACTGTTATGTTTGCACTGAATGAAAACTGTTATGTCCCGATAAGAATAATGAATGGTAACTTTTGGGATCCATTTATGGTCCAGTACCATAAGTACATTTTTATCGTATAGTTGTTATGTAACTAAAATGTTCATATTCATGTCTCTCTCATTATGAGTTTTATTTTGACCTATGAACTATTATTATGCGATTTACCATTCTTCAGTTATGCTCTGTCTGTTAATCACTACCTCCCTCATTCACAGCCACATTTGGCCAAATCTTGTACAAATGTTGTTTCCTATTTTATGGTACGATGTGTTCTGTTTGATTGGTATATAAACCACGTATGTTTGAAATAAATGAATCATATTGCAGAAGTTGAGATTGGTGTTCTGGACTCAACTGGCTGGCACCTATCAGGACTCTAGGCTGCTCGTATGGGTTTTACGCGTCACTGGTTCGATCAATAACTCACTGCTCTCTGATTGGCGGTATCGTTACGTTATGCAATAAACAGGGCACACAGATCACAAGTTATAACAAAAATCCATGCAATTAAAAAGAGTTGTGTCTAACTAGTCCAGAGGACAGTTTACATTCTCGCAACCGTATCTTATATATTTGTTTCTTTAATACAATGGAAACCTTTGAACAAGGTGTTTCATGGCTCAGTGGCTTGGAGATTGAGTTTTTTCGCGAATTATCGAATGTTCCGTCCTCAATCCTTGTTAGTGAAGTGTTGAGTGTACACTGTCGATGGTTCCGAAAATACGATGAAACAGATGTCAAGTGATTTCCGGTTTTTATCGGTTATTAAACTTACATTGGTCTGAGATCTGGACTTAGTGTTAGCAAATGTGTATGAATTATTTATATATGTATAGTAACATCCGAAATCATAGTTTCATTTAAAACACATATGTATGAATGCAGATTATTTAGTTTAATATACTGTCATTATTTTCTACAGTTATGTATTCACATTATTAGTTAAAAAAGGGGCAAACCTAGGGCGGAAACGCCTTTCGACATCATAGATTACGCATTTACAATATTTTGTAAAATACAATAAGTTTGTTATTGTTGGAACGACTTTTGTTCATCGGTAACTTGAATAAATGTATACGTGAAATGGAATTTTGAAATTGGTAATCAGAGTGAATGCAGATAACTTTGAGTGTGAGAGAAGTAATGGTTCAAATGAAATGTTAGCTTGAAGTGCATATAACATACGAAGCATTGTATATCACTGTGTAGGACATCATAGAATTATGCTAACCATTTCGCTCCCAGGGCTTGAACGTGGAACCTTCACTTTCGCAAGTGAACGCGGTAGGACAATATTTTATGGACGACCTTTGAACGAATTTTTAAGTGACCTTAAAACTATTAGCCAATCAGAAGAGAGTTAGCAAAAAGTTAAAACATATTATAAATAACTTATGAATTACGGCGAATATTTTTGTTTTACATGATTTAAAAACTTGTTAAGGTTAGGTAAAGGTTCAGATGTCCTGAAATCATAGTGCATGGGGTTAGGATTTATGGTTAAGTTTAGGGCTTAGGGTTAGAGTTTAGAGTTAAGGTTTAGGGTTAAGGTTAGGGTTAGGGTTTAGGTTAGGGTTAGGGTTAGGGTTAGGGGTTGGATTAGGGTTATGGTTAGGGTTAGGGTGCATAGATGGAAGTCTATGGAGGCCTTAGTCTGAGTTGTGATGGAGCGAAGAAAGTGCCAGTTCGAGCAGATTTTACAACGAAATCTAATGTCATCACGGTAGTCTGCACATTGTGCTGCAGTCATTTGATTTCCGTGGTCACAGATATAGGAACTTCCTAGTAGTCACATCTGTTGTAGTCGCTCAAAAATCACCTCTTCTCTAAAGTCTGCTGTAAAACGATCGAATGTGAGCATCTCATATTGAACTTAGCGCCGTGACCTTAAAATTCTTCAAACTCTTCTGACTGGTCCGTCCATAAATTAGAGTCTAACCGTGAACACTTTACATCTAGACTACAAATCTGGTATCCAATGATCGGTTGCTGACTTGTCTGCTCAGATATTAAGCACTACATACGAAACCTGATTTTTTTAGTTTCATTAGAAATTGAGGTCTCTGACTTGAACTACATTTCATTGCTCCTGGATTTTCAACAGTTATCTAACATATGTCGTTACGTGATGTTAATGGTATTAAATTGTTACATATCACTTAATATCTAAAAGTCAACCATATATATATGTCTCGAAAAAAGTTTCAAACTACTTAAAATTTATGTTTATCTATTGATTTCTTAGAATAACTGAAATTCTTAATGAAGCCAAATAGTGGTGTTGCAAAAAATTCACATTTCTATTCATTTCGCTCAGATCAAGAAAAGTTGGCCTAAATTGTATCAGAGTGAAAACGATATTTGTTTAAAAAATAAGTCAATCTCCCTTCTTTTAATGTTTGCGTATTTTTTAAATTCATTATCAGATTTTTATTATACATATATATTCAATCTTTGTCTTAATCATCAGTTGTTTTTTTCACTCGTTGTATTACTTCTATATAAAGGGCTACATTATATAAAGTTATCCGAAATTTAACCAATCACAGTTCTTTTATTCCACAAATTATATACATTTTAGAAATAAACCAATCAAACGAATTCAAAATCATAATTTATAAATTTTCATACATAAATATTTGTTTTTGCAATAATGATGATGAATTTCCAATTTTAAATTTATTTGTTACAAATTGTTGCAAACCTTTTTTGATTCTATTTGGAATATTTCCTTATCAACACAATGAATTATTTCCTTACGTAAAATTTAAAAACATTAAAATAGACATTGGGTAAATTCAACAACTGTAATATATTAATTAACAACAATTTTCTCAGCATTTTCGGTAATCCGAAAAAATAGGCAAACAAGACATATGGCTGACCACAAACTGTTGTTTATCATCATTCAAACTAAAAATCAAGAAGTTCCCAGTCGATCATATTATTGTCAACTTACATAGTTCAACCCAGTGATCCACTTAATAAATGTCTTTACATAATAATATCTACAGTAATAAGTCATCACAATTAAATAATTCATCACAGTGTAACAATAGTCATTCTGTTGGATTGAGTCAATACAAACCGTGTCTAAATAAGATTACAAACTACGACTTTCGTAATCGTTTTCCTCAAAGTCAATCAAAAGAAGTTTTGAAACAATATTCTGGTGAATTTGAAAGTTTGGGCGATGAAACACGGTAATTAGTAAATTTGTAATCATTAAAACAAGGATATTTTTATTAGTGAAACTAATATGAATGTCTGTTTTAGAATATATATTAATTTCGGTATAGAAAGCATCCTTTGAAATTTATTTTTATTATGGAATGAGACTATTCCGTAACAGTTGAACAGTTAAAATATCAATGTCATTTGTGAAAATGCATTAAATACAGATCTATTTAATTTAACGTTACAATATGGATGTCAAAAGTAGAGTATCCAAAGCGGTTGGAGGTGACTTTCAAAAATTTTATGTTTCACACTGATTTACATTCAACAGAAACGTGCTCCTGTAACCTTTACAAGAATGATGATACCTTTTAGTTTATATTTGAATTAACCCACCAAAATCAGTGATATTGATATTTAACCAAGACTAATACTCCCATATAAATGATGTTATTACACTATAATTAAACTTTGAGAAGTATCTGATACTTAGAATCAGTTATCTGGATGTACCTGCATCTTCCGTAACAAATATTTCAAATATGGGGATGTTATTCACTGAGAAACTGAGAGACAATAGTCAGTAACAAATATTTCTTTATTTATTCCTTATATTTCATCAAATTCTGAGACAATAAAATCTTTTTATCACATATAATCCATTACATTTACTAATTCGCTTAAGCGTAAAAGGGCCTGTTCAGTAGTTTGATATTTATAGAGAAAAGTCAATGATTACTAAACATGCAGGCGACTTTGACATTTATTGCAGTAAAAGTAAAACTTGAAAATAACCTCAAACTTTACCTACCTTGACGTAATGAATTGTATTAATATTAATATTGTTATTATTATTATTATAAATTCATTATAAGGAAGATGATTCTTAAGAGTATTTATATTTTGGTAGGTCAGTTTAAAATTTAAAACATCATTTCTTAATAAGGAACATACTTTCTGTCGAAAAACAAAATAATTCGATTTAAATTTAATTAACAATCATCTTCAATAATACAATTTGATAATCATCAAAGTCAAAAGTTTAATAATAAATAGTTTCTTTGTGTCATTTATGTGAAATTAATCAGTTATTCTTAAAAATCGTATTGTATACTTGAATTATATTGTTTAAGAATTCGTTTTGACTGAGATCCCAGCCAAGTTCTTATATGGCGTACCTTTTTACTTTATCATACAGTCGATTATATAACGGTTAACAATACAACTCTATGCACTATAAAAAAATTTATAAGTGAGCGTCAAGCGTTTTTTGTCTTCTATCTGGATTTCACAAATAAATACAAATGTACAACTTCATATACACAAAAATAGATTGTTACTCAGTATCAGTGGGTAATAATATTTTATAAATTTGAAATGGTAGCTACTCAGTATGACTACAGTAAATAATTAAATAAAATACATTCTGTATTTGATTTCAAGAAAAAATGCTATGTTGTAATTTCTTCCAAGATTCAATGATGAAATTTATTGATCAAATAAAAACTGTTATTGAAGTATTTTAACCAGAAAATTCAGTTTTACTTTTATCAGGACATTGCACACTTCATCTTTTAATGTAATTTTAAAATGTAAGGTAACAGAGTTGTAATTATTCCCTTGTTATTATTGTACGGGTTATTAATATTATTATTATTATCGATAATATTTTATTTTGGTTGCCTATTAGGCTATATTTACAACGGACATAAAAAACAATATAATATGACATTTAGTGAGTTTTTGAGTACTTGTAAAAACATGTTTGTCTCATCAAAAGAAGCTCATACAAACCCTCTATCTACATTGGTTAAAAATAAAGGTCATCTGAGAAAGGGTCAAAGCATAAATTTACTTTACTCTATTTTCTTGAATGTTTCCCAAATTTCCCTCATTTTTGTCTTCGTACACAATTTTGATTTTCATTCTTTTATGAAATTGGATTTTTATCAAAATATTTTGTGAATTGCCTAGAAAAATATATAATCAGCCAATCATTAAATCATTTATTCTAAATTTTTACAAATAAATATTTTTATTATCATAATTAATATAAACTACGTTCAATTTCTTAGTCACTTGACGGTATTTTTATAATCACTTGTAAATTATAATCATATTATGTAATAATTCTACTGTATTAGTATCATTTTCTTATTATAAACTATATATATATGCTTGTGTAAGCCCATGGTGAAAAACTTAATAAAAGGAAATATTTCTTCACTCCATTGATTGGATGAGAGACAGGTATCCATCATAGTCAATGGAGGATTATCGCGCAATAAATAAAAGTTAATATGCCATGTTATGTTATCTGTGATAATTATATGTGATTAACGTGAACAAACTGACTAGTTTTCGATTCTAAGATGAAATATCAAGTATCACAGGATAAATCTATTGTGGTAACCAGGCCAATAATTATTATTGCCATTTCCGAACTTCATTATAATTTTTTGTGGAAATGCTAAATAAATGGAACTCTTCCCAAATCCCTCCTTTCCCATTCAATGAATGTCTATGTAGAAATGAACTATAGCATTCACTAATTCCTTCATGGGTACGAGATATTTTTGCTTTCCCAACTTATGTTTTATCTTCTCTGTCCTTGACCACTTAAGGCTTCGATGTTGAAGGGTTGCTAAGAATTGATTTTTAAATCCATTTAATTGTTTCATACGTGGCGGACCAAACAATATATGAACTCAAAAAAACTAATGAAGTGACTCAGTACGAACAGTAATGTTAAAGTATATCAGTTAAACGTTATAAACACAATAAAAATTAGGAACGTTACTTAATTCAGCTGGCTTGTACGTGTTCAGGTTGAGTTTGGTATCAGAATCCACAATTATAGATGATTGATGATTCCAGTAAGGTTGTTGTGCTTGCAGTGATATAGTCAAATGTAGAATATAATATGAATATGGCTGCAGTCTATAAATGTAGACAGTAGATGGTTTAGAGTTCAGTTATCACAGCCACGAGAAATGGAGAACAAGAGGTGTGTGTATAGGAGTGTATTTGTAAGCAGATGACAGCATGTGTTATGCTATGCGTGTGACACGACGGAAGAAAGTGTGTTCAAGGTGGTGCACTCAAACATGTACAATCATTTTGTAGTAAATATAAAACTGTAAAAATTAACAGAACAAATACAAATAACATCAAAAACTATTTACAAAATAAATTTGTCATGCCTATCTCCACACAAATCTAATTTCTCACTAGAATAATTGTCGTTATTTCAAGATTAGTTTCTAATAGAGGTAAGTAGTAATTTCCTTCTACTTTGGGGTTTATCGAAAAGGTGCATCCACATTTCCACACTATTATATACAGAACTTTCAAAACGTCTAAACATTATACCTTGTAATACAATCACACTGTGATTAAACATAAAGTGTAATCATTATGCAATCTCATCAGTGTGTTTTTCATTTTTTTGAGTGAGTCGATGGACTACACAGTTCACTTTGTATATGCTCACCCGTAAACTAATCATTACTCAACAAGTCTTACTTACTTACTTACGCCTGTCATCCCCAATAAAGCATAGGCCGCCGACCAGCATTCTCCAACCCACTCTGTCCTCGGCCTTCCTTTCTAGTTCTATCCAATTCTTGTTCATTCTTCACAAAACTGTCTCTATTTCTCAACGTTATGTAATGTTTGGGCTTTCTCTCCTCCGTTGACCTTCAGGATGCTATGTGAGGGCTTGCCTTGTGACACGGTTGGGTGCTTTCTCCAATGTGTGTCCTATCCACTCCCAGCGCTTCTTCCTGATTTCTTCCTCCGCTGAGATCTGGTTTGTTCTCTCCCACAATAGGTTGTTGCTAATAGTATCTGGCCAATGGATCCGAAGTGTTTTGCGTAGACAACTGTTAATAAACACTTATGTCTTTTCAATGTTCCTCCTTTCTTGAATCTTATCCAATGTGCCATCACTGATCCATTCCTTATGGTGGCGCTTTTTGTGGCCCAGAAGCTCATGGCATGTTGAAGTGACTACCTTCTTGGCGAGCAGCGAGCGATGATCTGATGCTATATCAGCTCCTCTCTTGGTTCTCACGTCTTTCATCGTCCCCCTGAACCTTTTGTTGATGCAGATATGGTCGATTCGGTCTTGTGTAGTGTGATCCGGTGAAGTCCATATGGTTTTGTGAATGCGTTTATGTAGGAGTATGGTGCCGCCTATGACCAGTTTATTGAAGGCACATAGGTTTGCAAATCTCTCACCATTTTCGTTCCTTTCTCCCAGTCCGTGTCTTCTCATGATTTCTTCATATCCGATGTTGTCCGTTCCAACCTTGGCATTTAAATCTCCCATCAGAATGGTCAGGTCGTTTGTTGGGCACTTCTCAATGATTGACTTCAGCCTTTCGTAGAATTGATCCTTAGCGTCTTCATTGTAGTCGTTAGTAGGCGCATAGAATTGAATGATGTTCATTGAAATGCCCTCTTTCTTTGTTTTGAAGGAGGCTTTGATGATCTTTGGTCCATGATATTCCCATCCTATAGGTACATTTTGTGCTTGTTTTGATAGCGTCAATGCAACTCCTTGTGTATGTGAGGCATTTTCTTCTTCATGGCCAAAGTATAACAGCAGCTACCCTGAAGCTAGTCGTTGTTGTCCAACTCGCGTCCGATGTGTTTCACTGATCCCAAGCTCCTCCAGGTTGTATCTCCAAATTTCTGCAGCAATTTGGAATGCTCTCCCGGTCTCCCACATTGTATGAACATTCCATGTACCTAAATAAATGGTTGTTCTGGTTGTCAGAAGGAGCATCGGCCTTGTGACTTCCAAATGAACTTGGCCTTCACCATGAGGCGTCATAACTCTGCTAAATGAAGACATTCTGACTCTTGGGGTAGAGTTTAGGTGTTTCGAATAATTTTTTCTGGTTAGCGTTTTTTTTTAGCGAGTTAGTTTTCTACGGGATAGGGTCGCTAACCCCATGCTCAACCCTGATTCTTTATCTGGGTTTAGGACCGGCAGAAGCCCCAAAGGGCTCCAGGCGGAGTTT